GAGAGAAAAGCAGCACGAGGGCAACAAAAGAGCAGCAAAATGAAAGTACATCCCAAATATGGTGAAGATCCTCTGTCAAATTCTCTTCAGTAATTGGTGCAAATAATGTATATCGATGCAGAGAAATAGGTATAAAAATTAAAGAAAACAGAGATATAGTAGAGTACTGGGTACTGTATTAAAAATACATGCCAACCAGGTCACAAACTATATGAAACTGCCTCTTCACCAACATAAAACATCCTAAAGGCTATATAGTATAATCTGTAAAAAAGAAAGAAAAATAAGTAACATGACAAGGCCTCAAGTACGTTATTGTATACAGAATCTGAAAATACATAATTTTCTAGTATACGTCCAAAATGCCTTGAAAATGATGCAGGAGCAAAATTTTACAAGGACATCATCGTGTACACCTGAAACAGTGTTTCATATGGGAGTACTGTGTGGTATTCACCAAGGCAGTGCAATATAGCACTTGACCCCTGCACTCTCGTATTCTCAGTTTTCTTATGTGGTGGGCAATACACAGAATGTTTGGCTGGCTCTGAAAATATAAATAAACATGTACTTTACTCAGCTCCACCTGAAAGTTCTATCATTATTTGTATGTACTATATTCATCAATATCTGCAAATTTTGCTTTCTCAAATTCACTGTTAGTACAAAGAGGCAAATAGTCTCACTGAAGCAAATCCACACTTTTTCCACTGCAATATTGTATAACCTATACATCTGTGAATTTGTTTTGTACAAGCTTCTTAAGGAATGCTTTTTTTTCCTAAGGAAGTTGATATAGGAAAGGACAGGAAGCCCAGTTTCAATTCTCCATGGGACTCGAGCGTTTTTTTTTTACTTAAGACTTATGGGATATTTATTAAAAAAACAAGGAGTAATGCTACACAAATTACAAATGTATGGAATAGGTGGTAAGCTGTAATGAGTTGTTGTGAAGAGTGTCATGTAGGTTCAGATGTGCAGTATAGAAGGCATGTAAGTGTGATACTGCTAAGGTTACTTAATATGTTTATAAATAAGGGAGCATGACATATGGTGCAAAATACCCCTCAACGAAAACCAGGGGTGTAATAAGTACAAAATATGGATAACTTGATATTTTAAGCAGTCTCCTTTCAGATGTAAGGAAAATTACCAACAGAACTGTGCAGGAGTATGACATTGCTCCAAGTCATTGCTAAACAGCCTAATCAAATTGTGTTGCAAGCTTCAACAGACTAAGTTACTGACCATGAGATCTGGTCTGAAACCATGTAGCTAGACTCTTATATAATGTGAGAGTTCTCACAAATACTGCTTACAGATATTATTAGGCTTACAGATAATAGATCTATTGGGAGATTTTGAAGAAAAGCTACTGCACAGTTGAGCCTCCAAATTCATGAGTTACGTTCCAAGAAGTCTTAAGAGCTTAGAATTTTCAAGTGATAAATTCTTTTGTCTATAGCAGACTGTCGATTAAGATACGATCTTTCAGAACATTCTTGATATAAGACGATTTAAGAACTGCAGCAATTTTTTGATCATGATGTCGTGATGTTTATTTATGATGGTGTAACTACAGGGGAAAATAGATGAAAGCCCATACAAAAAGGCTAGTAACAAATAATTTCACTAGCTACACATTGCTGTGCCATTAAGTCATTCACTTACCCTAGCTGTATTTAAATGAATGTTGAATGCATTAGTGATTAATATTAAAGTCTGGAAAGTACAGTAAATGAAAAAGTGATGGGATAATCTTGTGGCACCACCATGATAAATGTTTGAGGTTCACAAAGCCACCAGGGTATACACCATTTATATATGAAGTCTTTATCACACAGGAAGTCTCAGGAAAACTAACAAATTTTATTAAATTAGTTGTTGCCTGCATACCAATGCAGTGTTTTCATATTCTCTGTATCATCATGGCTAAAATGTGATGATACTGGTAATGAAGATAATGTTTATATAGAAATTGAGGACTCCAAGATTTATATATCCTTTGCTTCTTTAAATTTGAATAATCAATGTTACAAGGAGAGGAAAATAAATATTGCCAACCAAGTGTATACTGTATATACTGCCCATCAATTCAATTGGTAAACTTTTATTTTGCGAAAATAAATGACTTGCCTATTCCGGGTTGAGAGGGTCAGCACCTGTGTTTATATATCCTTTATGCTTTGCATAATTAAGGTTAAAAATGAAAGAAACCTGGATGTAATGTGTACCTACTTTAAAGTACATTTGTGCATCGGTTTAGTTGGTACACTCGTATTTTGTGATAAACGAACTAGGGTGTGCGAGAGGTTGTTCTGGTGGTTGTTAAAGGCCACCATGGCATGAGCCTCCAACCACCCATTATTTTATTTCCATTGTAATGAATTTATCAGTACATATTAGTTTAACGAGCATACCAGGAAAAGTGTACGGTAGGGTTATTATTGAAAGAATTAGAGGTAAGACAGAATGTAGGATTGCAGATGAGCAAGGAGGTTTTAGAGTGGGTGGGGGATGTGTAGATCAAGTGTTTACATTGAAGTATATATGTGAACAGTATTTAGATAAAGGTAGGAAAGTTTTTATTGCATTTATGGATTTAGAAAAAGCATATGATAGAGTGGATAGGGGAGCAATGTGGCAGATGTTGCAAGTATATGGAATAGGTGGTAGTTACTAAATGCTGTAAATAGTTTTTATGAGGATAGTGAGGCTCAGGTTAGGGTGTGTAGAAGAGAGGGAGACTACTTCCCGGTAAAAGTAGGTCTTAGACAGGGATGTGTAATGTCACCATGGCTGTTTAATATATTTATACATGGGGTTGTAAAAGTAAATGTACGGTGTTCAGGAGAGGGGTGGGATTAAATTACGGGTAATCAAATACAAAATGGGAATTGACACAGTTACTTTTTGCTGATGATACTGTGCTTATGGGAGTTTCTAAAGAAAAATTGCCAAGGTTAGTGGACGAGTTTGGGAATGTGTGTAAAGGTATAAAGTTGAAAGTGAACATAGAAAAGAGTAAGGTGATGAGGGTGTCAAATGATTTAGATAAAGAAAAATTGGATATCAAATTGGGGAGGAGGAGTATGGAAGAAGTGAATGTTTTCAGATATACGGGGGTTGCCGTGTCGGCGGATGGATTTATGAAGGATGAGGTTAATTATAGAACTGATGAGGGAAAAAAGGCGAGTGGTGTGTTAAGGTATATGTGGAGACAAAAAACGTTATCTATGGAGGCAAAGAAGGGAATGTATGAAAGTATAGTAGTACCAACACTCTTATATGGGTGTGAAGCTTGGGTTGTAAATGCTGCAGCGAGGAGGAGGTTGGAGGCAGTGGAGATGTCCTGTCTAAGGGCAATTTGTGGTGTAAATATTATGCAGAAAATTCGGAGTGTGGAAATTAGGAGAAGGTGTGGAGTTAATAAAAGTATTAGTCAGAGGGCTGAAGAGGGGCTGTTGAGGTGGTTTGGTCATTTAGAGAGAATGGATCAAAGTAGAATGACATGGAGAGCGTATAAATCTGTAGGGAAAGGAAGGTGGGGTAGGGGTCGTCCTCGAAAAGGTTAGAAGGAAGGGGTAAAGGAGGTTTTGAGGGCGAGGGGCTTGGACTTCCAGCAAGCGTGTGTGAGCGTGTTCGATAGGAGCGAATGGAGACGAATGGTATTTGGGACCTGACGAGCTGTTGGAGTGTGAGCAGGGTAATATTTAGTGAAGGGATTCAGGATTTTCTTTCTTTTTTGGGTCACCCTGCCTCGGTGGGAGACAGCCGACTCGTTGAAAAAAAAAAAAATTCAGGGAAACCGGTTATTTTTATATAGCCGGACTCGAGTCCTGGAAATGGGAAGTACAATGCCTGCACTCTAAAGGAGGGGTTCAGGATATTGGCAGTTTGGAGGGATATGTTATGTATCTTTATACGTATATGCTTCTAAGCTGTTGTGTTCTGGGGACCTCTGCAAAAAATGATTATGTGTGAGGTGAAAGTGTTGAATGATGATGAAAGTATCTTCTTTTTGGGGATTTTCTGTCTTTTTGGGTCACCCTGCCTCAGTGGGAGACGGCCGACTTGTTGAAAAAAAAAAAAAATAGTTTTACAAAAGCACTGTAAAACAGGAGTAAGGAAACATGCCCAGCATTTCCACTTGTGTTGGGATCAAATAACTATCACTGTGTGAGGCAAGATCATTGCCAACCATTGTTTATAAGTGTTAATTTTTTTTAATTTTTTGTATGGCAAAACTTTCTACAGATGTCTTTTTTAAGTGTACCTGGAGCAATGCTTCCTGGCATTCTGAGTACAGAATGTGAAGATGATGACAGGTAACTAAGTTCTCTCTGGAAAATAAAGGATAAGACAAGAAGTGTGTGCTACAACTACTGAAAACTTTACTGTTTATTTTTCTCTATAAATATATAGTAGACACCATGAGCATATCTGTATACTTGTGTTAACACAAATATGTGATTATATGAATAGTCACACAGTAATATATGTCGTAATGTAAAAAAAAAAAAAGATTATGAAGTACATATTTTGACACATCCCTTACTCTCATCACAGAACATTATGAATTTATCACTACACAGATCACACTAATTTCATTCAGGTACAGTATACATATTTCATTCAGAAAAGCCTTCTCATCTGAAAATAAACTTTATAGAAAATAAATAAAAGTGGTTCACAATATAAAATCTTTGTTCACCAGCAACTGTTTCTGTTCATAAGTACCAAATTATGGAACCTAAAGGTGTAAAAATGACAATATCTATCATTAATTATGTTTCTTTGGTTATGATACACTTTTCTAACACCTGTAACACATTTAAAAACAGACTAGTATACTGTATATAAAAAAATAATCTGAGCATGTATATTGCTACTGACAAAATATACTGGTCTGTTTTCTAAACTATCCTTTTGTTATTGTGAATATCCAACTTGGATTAATACACGAAAAACTTAGCTGCTAAGAGTACATTGAATCTAACCTGTCTGTATGGGCGAGAATAGGAGAGTGACGATCCTTGTGAAGACTGAGAGCTTCGCCGCACCCTTCTTCCACCACCTGCATCTCCATTTGCATCACTGTGGTGGTGATGATGGTGTGAACATGAACCAGTATGTCGATGGTGGTGGTGGTGGTGGTGATTACTGCCCCCACTACTGCCTCCTACTCCACCTGCTGTGCTAGTGATGGGGGCACTGTGGGCAGAGGCTCTTCGAGAAGGTCGTGGAGAGGGCACTGGCGATGTCTGTGTTGTAGAGCTGATCACCCTCTTGGATAAGGACTGTGGTAAAGAGAGACCCTCCGGTCCACCTTCTTTCTTCTGCAATGATCCCAGGCCAGAGGAGCGTGAGTGAGACACCCCACCAGACCACCGCTGCTGTCCCCGTGAGGGTCCACTTTCAACCCCATGTTCCCGAGTTCCACTCCCACTTCCTGGCTGAGATCTTCGAGAGCTATTTCCAAGCCCAGGTACTAACCCTCTTGTCCCACTACCTATCCCTGGTAGAGATCCCCTTGAACCTCGCCTCCCAAAAAAAGAACTGTGACATCTCTGAAGTGACCCTGGACTTGGAACCATGCTGAGAGATGATCGGGAAGATGATAATGAACTACTGGGAGATACTTTAGGTGAAGAGGTTGAACCACTGTTAGAAGGTATTCGGAAAGTCTGTAGCGGATTATTTTTGGGAGATTCTTGCCCGGTGGGAAGTGGACCATTCTTGCTGGGAGTTGTGCAGTGGTGCTGGAGACCGAGAGAGGGATGGGAAGCCACAGCCGCAGGAAGGGTCAGGGGAAGCTGCTGGTTAGGACCCATCACCAACACAACCAACAATCGCCACCCAGGAGAGCCAAAGTCAGTAACACAACATAAAAATACAAAATTACAAGCTAAACAAAAAAGAAAGCATACTAGGAAAAATAAAAAGCCACAATTAGCAATATAACACTAAAATTACAGAAAAGAGTCAACATAAAAGAACTAAAGAAAATTCCCATAAGCGCATACAAATTATAAATAATAATAAATATTTAGTGTAAAAGAAAAAGTTAATTGTGCAGTACTAAAGCTTGTAGTTTTCATAATTATTATTTTAGTAAAATCTGTTAAAACTTTGTCACCACTGTGTATCATAATTGACTGTTATCTACTTAAGTTGTTCTGTAATTTTATTGTAAATAACAAAAATATGACGGTAAGCCTTCTTAGCTCTAGAGGAAATATATGTACAGCATCTTTGCTTCTCCAGTACTACAGTATCACATATGGGATCTCAAAAAGACTGTACAGTAATTACACTACTGGTATGCTTTTTTTTTTTTTTTTTTTTTTTTTTTTAGAATTCTGAGTTATGTACAATAGCTCAACTATTGTTCTTCATTCATGAAGGTTTCATCATAAATAAACAAACAGATTAATAAATAAATGTTTATGTAAGAAAGAAATTTGTCTTGCAATGAAAAGAAGGTCAGGATAATTAATATTTCTTATAATTTATGCCTTTGACTCACCTCATGTTTTAGGAATGAAAAGAGGGACAAATCATTCAAGTTACTGATGAAGCTTTCCTTTTCCTAAGATAATTTTCCCAGTGTGTAAGCATGAATAAAGTAAGAGGTGTTACATTGCAAGTGATTATTGTTATCATATCAGAAATGAGTTACAGATTATAATGTGGTACTTCAGCGTAAGTGGGCAAGACTTGCAGGTTTTAGGACATTTATAAAAGATAGGGAATATAATCAATGTCTTGGTGAAAAATCAATCACCATCATCAGAATACATTTCTGAAACATGACACAGTATCACAGTTCACAATATAAGAAAATGATATATGTATACAACAAACAATATACAACATACGACAATAATTAAGCTAACCAAGATGGAAGGTTTTATACAAATGTCCTATTTGATATATGGTAGTTACTATCTGAGGAGTTACAATAATGTACAAACCATAATAAGTCATTAGAAATACTAAAAATCAAGAACAAAACATGAGAAAAACTTAAATTTAAGGAGACTCACCTAGGTGGGACTATCATCAGCCCTTATTCAGGCATGGACAACAAAGGATGAGGAAAAATACTAGACTCGAGTCTAATTTTCTCTTATTCTTTGCTGTCCATGTCTGAGTAATGGCTGAAAATAGTCCTCCCTCAGTGAGTCTCCTTAAATTTCAGTGTTTCTCACATTTTATTATTGCTTATTTGTACAGTATTTCAAATAACTTACACTTTGTACATTATTGTACCTCTCCTCAGATAGTTACCATCTTATTTCATATAGGACATTTGTAGACCTCCTATCCTGGTTAGTGTAATTAATGTTGCATCTTCAATACTGTATACTGCATTTTATATATTGTGTATTGTTATATCATGTTCCAGAAATGAATCACGATGGTGGAAATTGATTTTTTCACCAAAACATTGATTATATTCCATTACTTTGATAAAGGTCCCAAAAAACTACAAGTCTTTCCCACCTACTCTGAAATGTAATTCTTCAAACTCAATCATCTTTAAATACACTGTAGTAGTTATAGAAACAGAATGCAGTTAACATGAGCTTCACATCTCAATGTTAATTTAGCACAATTAATCAGCAAATGTTTGAACTCGATTAGAAAATTTCATTCTTAGGTACATACGTGGTGAATAAGGAAACTAACTCAAATGATTTTTCAAGTACTGCTATGCTCTAAGTAAAGGAAGCCATATTGAACAGCATTCTGATAAAAGAGGTTCCAGTATATGACCACCAATACTGTACAACAGGCAATATCAAATTACAATTCTGTCCTCTTTAAAGTCCCTTGAACCGTACTCATTTGAATAGGCAAAAAAATTATGCAGTATAATTTACACGAGGAAAAATTCTAGAGGGATTGATCCCAAATCCAAACACTGAAAGCAAGAGGCTTGGAAGACAATGCAAAATACTTCCAATGAAAAGCAGGGTGTAATTAGTGCTGTGATTGGAAATACTAGTTTAAACTTAAATATAAGACAACTCATTGAGCAAAATGGAGCTAAAACTCAACATCCTTCATGCATATGGGAAATTCCCAGACCCTGAACTTCCTTCAAGAGGAATTTTTTTGGGGTTATCCTACATAGTTTACACACACGTTAAAATATGTATGATAACTGTACTTAAGTGTACCTCTACCTAAATAAAACTTACTAAGCATTACTAAAAATATTTCCAAAACAGTGGGCATTCTCAAAAATTTGCTACTATGAACCCCAAACATCCTTGCTCATTTTGTGATACTCTTTAATCTATCCATACCCCGTGTATTGTTTCAACCATTGCATTGCGACTTATTTATTTTTTTTATACTGATAGTGTATTAAATGTATAATAGTCACTGGAAGCATACTGGCCTTCTCCATTTTCTTTGGATATACTGCCATGTCTATTTTCTCTTGAAGGAATAGATAGTATATACATGCTGCATCAAAAGCCAGCTTCCCACAGGCTTTATTAAATAAGTTTATTTTGTAACTGCTTTATAGGATCTGGGTATATAACATATTTGTTTGGCATTTTAGGAATGTAACCTGATTTTTCCCACATTCTCCAATTTGCTTAATGCATATTTTGCATAATACGCCATTTTCAGGAGCACAACTGCTGTGTTATTCAAGTGTCTATTGCACATTAATTTTGGATGAGCATCACGTCTGAGTCAATCAACACTTAGTATTAAGTCACGTTACGTGCCAGCTGAATGTAAACAAAAGAGGTACCAGTATTGATGGCAGGGTTAAGGCTGGGTTATGTTAAGTTAGGTTAAGTTTTTACCATTTGCATTACAAAATAATATCTCTTCTGTAAAACAAACTTAATCAAACACAATTCAGACTACAGCAGCTCCTGCAATTGCTATTACTGGATGGCCTGTAATAGCAATTGTGGTGGATAGAGAACAGATTGTTTTGCCACAACTGTAACAATAATAGACAACTGTGACCAAATGACTTTGTCTATTGTTTCCAAATCTACTGATCCAGAGGATTCTGTGCCACATTTCTGAAGTCCATTAAATGGAGGGTTTACTATGTAGTTAATAGCTGTAATCCATCAAGTAGCAGTTGATACTATTATCATTTACTGTACAGTATTTTGGGTTCCTCTCAATTTCATTGATGACCCTCCCCCCCTCCCTCTCTCGAACTCTTTCATAGATCTGCTCTTGGACTCCATATGGCGCATTCAATTTGATTTCAATGTTTTCCATGCTGGAATCAGTATTCTTTTCATTCTTAACCCTTAAACGGTCCAAACGTATATATACGTTCACTCGTGTAGCGCCCCAAATTTTTTGAGAGAAAAAAAACTTTTTTTTTTCTAAAGGAAAAAAGAGCATATGGTACCCTGGCATCCCCAATTATTTTAATATGGCACACAGTGAGTGCGCACATCCATTCTCTCATGTCTAGGTGACTCTGGCTTATCGTGGCAATGTTGAATGAATGACAAAGAAGACGTATATATACGTTTGGGGCGCTACGCGCGTGAACGTATATATACGTTTGGACCGTTTAAGGGTTAAGAAAATAGATAAAATCTGAGAAGCTCTTCACTTTGTCCTTCCCTATGCTTCTAATTTACTGAATCTTGCCAATTCCCAGAATGCAACTCTGGTTATTAATTCGTATTTTTTTAAACTAATCCACCTAAGTGGTCTGATATGTATTTTTCCTGTCAGTCACCTGACACTATAGGCATTTCCTGCTTCCCCTTTCCTTTTACCACAAGTTAACCGAACTCAAAAGAAAAGCTGAAGTTCCTGATACTAACAAAATCTTTCTTATTTTGGAGTGTGACCATTCCAAAAACTGGTTTTCTTCAAAAATTATCTATTCCTCTTCAAGACTTCAAAGACACTGTTTGGATGAATTGACTCTTGATATACAATACCCTAAACATGAATCTTGGACCCAGTTTTTTCCTTTATACTTTGTTTCTTCCAATGCTTTCTCAAGTCCTTTAATTACATTGGTTAACTGCTGATTTGGAATCTGGTGACAAGTGAACAGCAAACACATATCAACTGTGCAATGTACATACTTGATATTCTAATAAACAATGCTTAAAAAATGTCATTTTTAAAATCCTAGGAATGTTTATATAACGAACAATGTGCATATCTGCCAATTATGCATTGTGCTTGATTTTTCAATAAACATTGCCTGAATAAATAATTTTACTTTAATTAAAGATTCAGATGTTTTGGATCAATTCTGATTTCAGATTTGGAATCAGTGTACTTATTTAATAAAGGACATAATTTACTCCAGTAGTAGACAGAGTATCTTTGTTAGTTTTCCAGTTTTATCAGGACATGTGACTTCACCTGGATTACTGCAACTCAAACTCAAGACAGTTTCAACTTTATTTATGTATTTCATGTTTCTCCATACTCTGAACTTAGTAATGGTCAAGATAACAAAAACATTACTCAGCTCTATTTTTCACTTCTATGCTGGTCATGATTTGTTGGTTTTATTATTATGACTTTTATTTGTACTTTATATATTTACAGAAGGTTGTGGCCTGTAATTTTTCCCCTCTTATAACCCACCTGAATTCAGCCAACCCTGTGATTAATACACAGTATCAGATATTAATAGAAATCCTGCAGGTCTTCCTTGCTTTATGTGAATTTGCTTAACTGTATGCAAATTCATTTATACAAGATGACACCATTACTACCTATTATATGAAATAAGATACTGTCATTTTTCAAAATGAATCTTCTTTCTGCTGTTTCAGGAAGTGAAAGA